CCCAGGGAGGTTGTGGAGTCTCCTTCTCTGGAGATATTCAAGACCCGCCTGGACAAGGTCCTGTGCAGCCTGCTCTGTGTGACCCTGCTTGGGCAGGGGGTTGGGCTGGGTGACCCACAGAGGGCCCTGCCAACCCCAAGCATTCTGTGATCTGAGGGTCTCCGCTTTGCAAAGTGATCCCCTTCCCGCAGCAACACAGCCCAGGGAGCCCTTGCGACTCTTCCCCATTTCGTACTGGGCACTGTGGGGGCTGGACTGGGGCTCTGCTGGGCGATACGCACCCCCGAGGAGAAGAGGGCCCAGGGACCCAGGCAGAGCTGAGCGTGCAAGAGGCGCACACACACACATGAAAAAGAGAAAATGGGAAATCAAAAGATTCCTCCCCACTTTGTTACGGTAAAGCACGAATTTTGGTGACCACGTCTCCGTCTCCCCCGGTGCTGGTCACTCCTTTAGCGCCCGCTTGGGGTCATTTCAGAAGCGAGCGACAGCCCAGAGCCCCGTCCCCAGCACCCAGCGCTGCCCAGCGAGAAGGAAGGAAGGAAGGAGAGCGTCTGTACCTCGGGACTTACTGTGTGTTTCTTAGTCATTCTCCAGAGGACGCACGTCAGGAGCATGTGGCCCAGGGCCGAGGTGATGAAGACGATGAACGCGTTTTCGTGGATGGCTGAATCAACAAGACAAGAAGTTTCCTGTTAAAGCTGAGCCAAGAGCACCAGGGGAACACGGGGTGGGCATCAGGGGTGGGTGCAGGACTGCTGCCTGCGGGCAGCGGTCCCACCACGAGCCCCGGTGCCTGGGAGATGCTGTGCCCCTGGCCAGGGTCTTCGCAGCAGAGGGGCACAGCCCCGCACGCCCCGCGCCCACGCAGAGAAGGGGACGGGGGTGCAAGGACAACACCGCTCGCGCCTGCTGCATGGTCCCCTGTGAGCCTGGGGCCGGAGCGGGCTGCACGCTGCGGGGAGACAGCAGCGTGCCCTGGGTGCCAAGAAGGCCGATGGGATCCTGGGGTGCATGAGGAGGAGTGTGGGCAGCAGGGCGAGGGAGGTTCTCCTCCCCCTCTGCTCTGCCCTGGGGAGGCCCCATCTGCAGTGCTGGGTCCAGTGCTGGGCTCCCCAGTTCAAGAGAGATGAGGAGCTACTGGAGAGAGTCCAGCGGAGGGCTACGAGGATGAGGAGGGGA